CAACCTGCCAGGCCTCTCCATACTTATACTTCTCCCAACATCCACCATACCACAGGGGCTTAAACCTTTTTGCCTGCTTGATAGCAGCACAGGTTTCACAGTCACGGATAACCTGAGAGATAATATCTTTCGCTAAATCCACCCCTCGGTCTCGTGCCCATCTATGAGTGCCGTCTCGGCCCTGATGACCTGAAGCATCATGAGCCCATCGAGCTAGGAACAACTCTCCCTTCTGCTGCCAGTCTAGGTCTGCTTGCGAGACCTTGACCTGTGCAGCTCGGTCTGCCTGTTCGTTATTAGTATGTTCCTCATTAGCTCACTTCTTAGACACATGGGCATCCACATGGCGGACTCTTACATTTAGTTTCTTCACTCTGGCAGCGATGTCTTGCCACAGATCAGCAGCCCAGATGGGTTTCCCTCTACGCCTCCAATTCATCTTTTTCCACCGGTCTAGCCATCCCCATAGGGCATTGGCTATCATCCACGAATCGGTGTACAGGTAGAGCCTTGGCCATCCTTCTCTCTCTGTGATATCTAGGGCCAATTGGACCGCTTTGAGTTCCGCAAACTGACTCGATTCGCCTTTACCTTCAGTGGCTTCCGACACTCGTCGGGTGGGACTCCAAACAGCTGCTTTCCACTTCCGGCTCCTCCCTACAATACGGCAGGAACCATCGGTGAAAAGGGCATAGCGTCTTTCTTCATCTGTTGCTGCCGCTCCTTCGTCAACTACTTCCTGCATGGTTTGAATAGGTTCCTCTACTCCTTCTTCTTCTTTTTCTTCTTCTTCTTCTTCTTCTGTGTGTTCCGGTAGCGGAGATGGGTCTGTAAGTTCTTTGATCTCCCTTACCCATGTCTTCTTCTTCTTAATGGGGGCAACAATGACTTTCCGGGTTTTAGGTTGAGTCCCAGTTCTAGTAGACTTAGTAGAAATGGCACTGACTTTAAGTTGTGTTTGGACCCCGACTTCTGTGGACTTAATAGGGACATCACTGGTTTCAGGTGGCGTGGTTTGGGTTTCTGTGTTGACCTTAACCTTTTGAAAGTGGTCTACAGCAGCTTGATAAGCATTAGCCAGGCCCCAGCACAAAGCAGAGAATCGCATATTCGGATCCTTGTAGGAGAAGCACCCTTCTGTTAGACAACGGGTCATCTCACCAGAATCAAACATCTGTTCCGGTGTGAACTCCCAATTAATGGGAGGTGACACACTTCCTACTAATTTACCAAAATCTACCCAAGCTCCATGCCACCCGGGGACTGGCCTGTCTGCAGCCCTTTCCAAAGTTCCAGCGATCTCCTTTGAGGTGCGATCAGATGAACAGTTTTATGTCCCCTGTATCATTTACATTAAGCCATTCTGGGAGATCTAGAGATGTAAGAGTATCTAGACTTGTTTGCAATAAGATGAATAGCGAGTATTTTCTATCAATGCACATGCAATGGTTTCTTTTGCATTACATAAAATACAAATGGGTTTTGCACAGCAGCTGTCATTGTCATCACTTAAAATAATTCCTTATATATACATATGTGTGTACAGGTGATATCTGTTGGCTGCCTCAGTCAGGAAAGGTCCTATTATAGCTCCTGCTTTTTAAGTGAATTCCCCAAAGAAATCACTTTTAGAAGAGGGGCAAAAAGTGGTAGCAGATCTGCTACAGTGAATGTCTCAAGCCAGCCTGGAAAATCCTGAAAGGAGCAGAGTGAGGAAATTGCCTTCACACCAGCTTCTTTTAAAGAGATGCAAGTGTTCAGATGTAGATGATATACTTAACAAGATTCAGATCTTGGATTCAACAGTGAATCACTAGTAATTATTAAGTGGCAATAAGATCTTGCCAAATGGTTTTCATATGATATTTAGCCTCAAAGAGGACATGATTTTTAGCCTTTGAGTACACCAAAAACAAAGGCTTCAAAAAGATTCTGTGGAGTACTGCCTCGGATTCAGGACCAGGACCAAAGTAATATGTTTAGATACTGGGATTTGATTTTGACCATATGAAATCTGAAGATTTCTGATTTCCAGGGCCACATTCTCTGCTGCCCTTGTCTTGGTTATTGCACAGCAGGTTTATAGTGATGTGTACCATATCTCACAGCTGCAGCAGTGAGTTCAGTAACCTTTGCATTACTGGACTGTAGCACCGAGGGTGATAGAAGGCCAAGGCCTGGTGTTTGGCAGAAACTCAAGAGCTTTAAAAGCTACACATTATCACAGCAACAAAAAGGAAACTGTGCTGGGTTAGGTCATTTAATTTTCTGTTTGCTGTAAAAGGGATCAGGCAAGCCAGAAGGCAGTGACCTGTCAACAGAAGAGGATGAAGCAACTTCAAATGAGCCCAATTAAAAAAACCCAAACACAATAATATTATGTTTAAAAAAATCCAAACCCACACACTAGAAAATACAAGCAGAATAATCTGGATCCTTTTTTTCCATTATGTATATATTTAAATACCAGATCTTGGCATTTGACCAGAATCCTTACTTGGCTGGTGAAGCGTAAAGGCAAACATATCTGCTCAGCCAAGCCAGCACCACTGGATTTTGATAAGCCGGCTCAGATTGCTTTAGTGCTCCAGAGCAGAATGGGCTGCGTGAGAGTGCTTTGATACTGGCTGTATTGCAGACACTGGATGCTCTGCAAATGCAGACAATAAGTTAGACAAAGAAAATGAGAAGCACCATAAACCTGTTACTTTTCCTTCTTATTATGATGGAATGTGTTAAGTTTATGCAAAAAGGACCTGCATATTCCTCCTCCTTCTGGCGACTCTGTACACCAGTGCTTCTGAGAGCAGGAAAACTCAAAATCTGGAAGTGCAGACTTCATCAGCAAGGACCATCTGGGAGACTTATTTTTACATATAATCAAGCTAACTTTTATTCTCAATGCCATAGTAATTACCAAGAAAAGATTCAGGTTTCAGCAGCTCATGAATTTCACCTTTCTATGCAAGAGGAGTAGGGTGCAATAAAAGATACTGGGTGAAATTTGCAAGCATGTCTAGTAGTTTAGGAGAGAACCTTATGCAGATTTTCAGCAAATCATATTATTTTACACAGCAGATATTCAAATGTCTGTAGGCATTTATAGCTGACAACTGTAACGTTTAGCAGGATTTTCAAAGGCAAGTCATTTTTACAAATCCAGTTTGTACCTGCTTGTAGAATCAGATATCGAACTGTGTCAGGAAGGAGGTATTTTTAGTCTGGAAATGTTGCTCTACAGCAATCTGAAATTTCATGCTAAACATCCCGTTTTACCAAATTTCTCTTCAAACTTTGATTTTTCCACTGGTAGCACAAGTTGGAAACAACATTGCTACAACAATTTCTAGCCATTGAAGTAACTGTGATTTCTGAAACAAAAATGACAACAATGTACAAGAGCAGGAGTCTGATAAAGACCTCATTTCGTCCTTTAATTGAAATACTTGGCAATCAGAATATAAATAAGAAAAGAAGTCTTGACATGTTAGTGAAGCTTTAATGAAATGACTTCTATCCATTCACTTGTGGTACATTAGTTCTTTTAGCATGGTCCGATTAACCTCATGCCTCACTTCCATTATAATCACTGTGCTGCCATTTCATTACTACCTTTACTTAAAGTCTCAGTACCCACACTGTTTATACTTCACAATCTAGTATTATTTGGACTGCTTTTCTTCCAGATGGGGAGTTGAAAAACCCATAGAAATCTATGAAGAAAGAGATGGGAAGCAGGCTGAGCTATATGTTAACATCGGTCGCTGTGTCAGTGCCTTCCCTGCCGTACAGGGAAGTCAAGGGTATGACTGGAAGTTCCCAGCTACAAGGCAATGCCAATCTCAGGTTACTGCAGGACCAAGTTCTACCAAAAATGCAGGTACAGCATGACAAATTGAAAAGAAATGTGAAAGCACTAGCCTTGGGTGAATTTTAACATTATTATTGTGTTACTCGAATGGCTTCAGGACACTAGAAACAGAACATTTATAATACTTTCTTGGGATATTTTTAAGGAAAAAAAAAAATCATCCCAAACAAAACAAAGCAAAAACAAACAAAACAAAGCCAAACAGAAGAACCCCCCTAAACTATTCATATGTTTCACTTTTAAGGACAAAAAATTCTAAACTCCATCTTTTTGTTTTAAATATACACAGAAATTCGATGATGTCTGTTCTCTATTATAGAAATGCTTAACTCATGGCAAGCCTCAAAAAAGAAGACTTGAAAAAGCCTGTAAGAAATAAAATAGACTGCAGTTGCCTGCTGGATATCACATCATATATCTCACCAGAAAGAAAAGCCATCAATATATCAAAATGTATCTGAAAAGGAGAAGTTGAGTCAGTTCCACATGGCCAGTCCTTCTGACTCTTTAATGGATACATTTTGAAGCATCACTGCAGATAACAAGGCAAGAATTACTACTAATTTTGTTATGTTAGAACTATGTTTTGGTGCTCCCCAATTTCTCTGGGCTCACAGAAAACAAAATTAGTATAAACACATTACCATGTTAACTGTATTCAAAATCCCATGGACAACTGTAACCTTTAATATCTATCTTCAGAGCAATTAAGAAAGATTAACCATTGCTAATAACCCATTTTTGTTTCACTTTTGTTTCTCTTCTGTTTTTCAAATGTTCACCCTCCCCGCTTCATAAATCTTCATTATTTGTCACACTTCACATTGATATTTTTGTTTTCCCACTCTGTCAGTAAAGTAACTTCTATTTCTGCAAACAACTTTATTCAAACCAAATAGTGACAACATATCTGTGTTTTGCTTTTGCCAAGTCCATGGGATCCGATGCTTGGCTGTATATTTTTATTTTATATACAGTGTATATATACATAAATGTATACATACACACACATATACACACATATATATATACATATATAACTATATATGTATACATTCACACACATATAAACATATGTATGCATTGTTTTTTGCAAATGAAATCAGAAGGCAAGCAAAACAAGACTGACCTGACTTACCTGTACTGGGTTCACAGTCAATGAAATCTTCATCGTCACTGGAACATTCAGCTGATGAAACAATGTCATCTGTAGTCTGGCATATGAAGCAAAGGAACAAAGGGAAAAAAAAGTAAGCTATTTGCAAGTCAAGAGGCTGTTACAGAGGTAACTAAATATCCAAGAAAAGAGAGTTTCGGATTTGTAACTTTTAAAATATTTAAAGTTGTACCAGATGTGCCTGTGTAAATGTGCCTCCATTGAGTTGGAGTCTCCTGTCAAAAGAACAGTGCTTATTCTGTGCTGTTGAATATTTCAGGTGTGCATAGGTGCTGTGCACCTGCTGGGCTGTTTAGGTCAGCAGGTGGATCACACTGATACAGCTGAACAAAGTACAGTGGGCTATAATGCTTTTTTGGCTGGTAAACTGCCCTCCAACAGCCACAGTAGATGTGTCTGGTTGGAAGATGCTGGGCTTCTCAATAAATACCAGTATCATATAGAGTCAGACAGAAGGCACTTACTGAGAGACTTGCCATAGGAGGCATGTTCAGACTGAACATGCTTTCTGCAAAGAAAAATATACAAGGTAGCCTCAGATACTATGCATCACTGAGGCAGCTAGCAGTACTCTTTGCTACAAGTGATCCATCACTGAGGCTAAGTCAACTCCTGCTCTGTTAATGCACCTCTTGGGCTGGGAATCTGGTGGACAGTAAATATCTGTGCAGCCCACTCGTTGCACGACGAAGAACTGCTGCACGGGTCAGGTATGCCCAACATACAATCTTACCTGCTTGCTTAACAAGCAAACAGAGATATGACCATAACAAGGTTAATCAGCTAGAAAGTCTGTTTCTTAAATGCTTAAGCCATACTGTAACTGTTCACAACTGTTATAGGTTTCAGCACATTCTTTCAGCACATTCCTTTGCATTTCCAGCTGGTGATTTTTTTATTTTGTGTGTGTGTGTGCTGGTCTAATTAATGAGCAGCATGTAGTGCAGCATGTTAGAGAGAAGTGTATTGGTGTCTCTTCCCAGCAGCATCTCCTGCCTGTAATTGCTGCAATTAGTTGAATTAGTAATGCAGACCATTAGGGAGAGTCTGTGGCAGCCTCTGGATAGAGGTTGTAATGTTCCTGCACACAATGCAAAATTACCACAGCTCAGCAGCACTGGCTCAAATCACAGCTTCTGCTGAAACTGTCTCCCTTAACAACTCTTCCTTGAAGAGAGCTGCCTATTCTGTTGAGCAGTAGGATCAGGGGGTTAACTCCTGAAACAAAACACCTGAAATGTTCCTCACCAGGTAGGAAGCATTGCTGAACTTGGGAGCAGGGCAGCTGTACTTTAGTACTCTCAGTGAGTATTCCCAGGAATCTCACATCATGACAAGACTTTCAAATCCTTATTCCTGAAAAAGACTCTCCAGCTTTAAATAACGTCTCCTTTATATTCATATGTCTGCTAAGGCTATCTCCAACATGTTCCCTCTTTCCTTTAAATAAGTGTTCTGAGGTCTCAGTCTTTCTTTAGCCTCCTCTGCTCCTAGTGCTATGAAGTACCTCTGACCCCAGTGAGAAATCCCTCGCTCTTCCCTCTCTCTTCGTATTTGAGCTAAGGGGAAAAAAACAGAACCAAGAAATCAGTCAGAAAGACTGAACCTAACATTTCTTCAGTCTTCATTTCCATGGCTTAGATTGAGCAAAGAAGGAAAACCAGGATTGGTCAGCTGTAAATAAAAATTGTAAAAATAGAGTATCTGTAAAAAAACAGCCATGAAGTAAGGGAATCCTTATTGTATGTATTACTCAGTCATATCCAGCATTGCCATTTGGCAATGTTTTGTAGGATGCAATCTTGCAGTAGTTTCAGGCTTAAATACTTTCATTAAATACTTTTATAATCTTGCCTCAATGGGGAGTCAAGATTAAAAGGGACTGGAGGTAATATATACAAAGAAATTTCCTGTCTTACAATGTCAAGGTCATTTTTTTAACGTCTTTCAGTCATAAAAAGTGGAAGAATTCTGCTGACTTCTCTCTTAAAACAAGCTGGCTTTAAAATTTTGTCTGCACAAGAAAGGAGGAATGCACAAAGTAGAAATTTACTTTTTTCAATTTTTCTGGTCTTGTCACATATATTTTAGAAAGTATTATTTATCCTGGAAAACTTTATAACTTATAAAATGATCACATCTTCCAACAGTGAAATGCAGCTGTCCCTGGGTAGAAAGACACTAGTTTTTAATTGCACCAATGTATAGTAACTTAGCACAATTTAGTAAACAAAACTATACTGCACGAAATTTTTAAGCAGATTAAATGTAGTTAGCGAAACTGGAGGTTTGTACTGTAGTTGTCTAAAGTTAAGGATAGCACTGTGAAAAAAGAATAAAATATTCATCACTGCTAGAAGACTTCCTCAGTGCTAAAGGCCTGGCCTGGCAATTGGTTTTGGTTTCCAGGTTGAATTTAGAATGTGTGGATTTTGCTCTTAGTTGAAGATCTGACAATTCACACTTCTCATAGAAGAATAGTGATGATTTGCTCCAGTATGAAATAAACAAAAATTATAACAATGTGTTGTTGTCACTTATCAGCAGCTATACCTATTCGATTACCCACTTACTTGCTCAGATGTAAGGGCTTCATGCAACATTAACTTGGAATCAAATCCAATTGAACTGACAATGTGATTGAGTATTTGTAAAGAATAAGGAATTTCTTTACAACTCTTTTTTTCCTCTCTTGCTTATTAGGGGCATCATATGAAACTAGAAAGGTAGCATGCCCAGAAAAAAAAAACAGGTCATATTTCTTTATACAATGTTGTTGGGTTTGTTTGTGGTTTGTTGTTGTCGTTGTTGTTGTTGTTTTAACTGGGCAACTCCTTGCAATAGGATACTGGTAGGTAATAAATTTTGGAAGTGATTGGCCAAATTAAAGGTAAAAACATCCTTGCAAGGCTAGTAAGTACCCTATACCAAGTCCCTGTGCCAGGACCTGAAAACTCATGAAGCCTGGCCCTTGTTTCTCTTCTTGATCAATATTCCATCTAATAAGCAGTTTAAGGCAGCACATGTTACATATTTATGCTGCACTCTTAGATATGTGTACCAGATTATCTGCTATAAAATCCTCATGCAGCTTGCGTTGGTTCTGAACAGAGAAGGGCAGAGTCAGCCAGACTCAGACAAAATGCAAATGTATGATGTGCAAAACTCTGCCAACTCAACCCTCTATCTGCACTTTTTCAAGACCGGTTCCACACTTGATTTTATCAATTAATCTCCATCCTATCTCCCCATCCCTATTGCAAGCTACTTCACTTGATATTCCAGTTTTTCTTGCTCTGTGGTTGCTGTTTATCCCATGTTGCTGATTTTATATGTGTAAAAATGAGGGTTAGAATAAGAAAAAAGCCTCCAGAAGTGGTGCTAGACTTAAGTCAAGGTCATTAACGAGATCTCTAGAAACCACTGAAAAGATAAGTACACTAATCTGTCTTGCCATTTCCTATCTTGTATTTTTAATCTCAGAACTTTCCATCACAATTCATCACTAACTGATTTTCTAGTCCCACCACATATTGCTTTTCCATGCACCTTCCACTCAAATACCAACATCTGAATCATCCCAAAGGAATAAAGCCATTTCAGTGAGGAAGAGCAGCAAATTCCTGACCACGGAAACAGAGTAAAGGAAACATCCAGAAGACCATTACTTCTTGTAACAGGAATCTGTACCTTTCAAAACCCTCCTGGAGCTGAGAATTTTCACCAGAGGATTACCGTATTTGGTGTTTCCACAAGACAGGAGAGGCTAGGGAGCAGAGACCCTAGAAATCTCTCCACTAAATTTATTCTCATCACACTGTAAGGCAGTAAGCAAAATCACTATCCCATTTCTGGTTCCCTTTTCCCATTTTTGAAATGGTTCTGACTATACTCACCCATTGGCCCCAGGGGATGTAAACAGATGAATTCTTTAGTGTCTGCCCAGAGACCTAGGGATAGTAAATGCTAAACATTCTTATGTATGGGCAACAGGATAGTAATGAAAATTCTCCATGCGCTATGATGGAAACAATGTTTGTTTTTTCATTGGAAAGAACATGAGAGAGAAAATATTTTCTCTTCCTCATATTAGCTAAATTCTATATTAAAAATAATAAGTCACACTACACTATTTTAAAATATGTATTTCATTTTTAAAGAACCCCAGATTTGAAATTACTTGGCCTGTATTAAAGGACATAAAACTAAAGATAGGTATTATAATAACTTTCAATAAAATCTCTCTCTGGCAGGAACCCTTTTTATTCCTTCCTCTGAAAGATTTTTTATGGCATTTATATTATTATTTTTTCTCTCCCTCTCTCTAGCGTTTAATGAAATTGCCTTGGAATAAAACCAGGGTAGGAGAAAGTGCTAAACTCTAAGTCCACCCTAGAGGATTTATGGGTATATTTACCTTCAAATTCTTTCAATTTCACTGAATTGGCTCCCCATTCCTTTCCATGAATTATTAGTTCTGTAATCACCTCCTCCTAATTATTCACTCTAAGGGCCTCTTCAATCTTGCCACGGTGATGGCTCTACATCTTTGTTCATTACACTGTATGTACTGGTGTGGGATGTACAGTGCAAAGAAATTTGGGATGGTGCAGCAAGACCTGCTCAAGATGACTCCATTCCTGTCCAATTTTTCAATTGCTCAAAGCCCTAGTTTATGTATCAGATCCATAACCTTTGCTCCTTTGTTCTATATAAAATGGCAGGTGCTGAATCTTCCTTTTCCCAATTGCAAACGTTTTTCGTCACCTTGCTCTTTGGGTGCACTGCTATTTGAGAAAGATTAAGCATGCTGGGTAAAATAAGTCCTGTCACAGAATAGTTTTATGAAATTATAAACAACGCACCCAAGAATGATGGAGTTTCCCCTTCTACTGAGAGAGAAAAGACAAGGACCCATAAATTCAAACCCCAAACAAATTTCTGCAGAATGACTTACTTGGCAGTTGCTTCACTTGGTAAAGTAGGATTCAATTTTCCTACTTGCCTTTTTCTTGAAACTCTTCTGCACACTATACA